TAGCAGGGGGAGAAATGCCACATGTAGGTGATGGGGAGGAAGGCAGCAAATCACACTGCCATGTGTGTTCCTATGCAACAATTTTGCATGTTCTTCACATGTACCCCAAAACCTAAAATACAATAAAATAAATAAATGGGATAAAAAAATAAAAATAAAAAAATCAACATTTTCATTTGTTACAATTCAACTTATTGTAATAATCAAAAAAGGGGTTTTATACAAGGTATTTTTATGCAGTTTATAATTAAAGCACTTATTTTACAAAAGGAGGGAAGTGAATAAATGGACAAGGGCTGATCAAATGTTGGCCATGATAATATAAATACATTCTTGCAAAGCACCATTGTACCAAAGTCAATAAACAAGAAACACCAGTTGACTTTAAGACAATGACGAAGATTAAAGCTTATGGGAAAAAAAATAAAGGATAAATGTCTGAAAGCAGCACCAGATCCTTCACTTGCAAATAAGCCTAGTCCAGTTTAATCTTCTTGGTATCCTCTCTACTTTTTAAAATTTTTCCTTACTCTTAACTCTCCACGTGTTAGGTAAACAGTGACTGATAAAGTTGCTCAATTTGCATGAATAAGCTACAGAAATGCAACCCCAATCATAGTTTTCACTTAAAACATGAAATTATAATGTACTTATGAGAAGACATAGCATAATTTTAGAAAAGTAAACAAATTTTTTCTTAGTTGCTTTGAGGAAGAATTATGCCTCTTTTTTACTGTGTATTTGATTTAGAAATATGAAATTTTGAGGCTGGAATATACTTGAGAGGTCATTTTTCCATCCCGTTACTTTATACTTTGTACACTGATTCTCTTTTATATGTAAGCCACTCTAAATTTTTTTTGCAAGATATATACTTACCCCAATGTATAGTAGAATAAACTTGACAGTGTGTTACTTTTTCCATAGTATTTGCATTTTACACTTTCCTTTTAAATATGGAATTTTAAGTATTGCTTGCCTTTGATGAAGAAACTTGAAACATCAATAAGGACATATGAAATCACTCGTATCTCAGTTTCTTTAAGATTTGACAGATGTTTCTTTCAGTATAAACAAATACCTTGAAAAGTCCTGTGATACAGGCTGAAAGAAAATTAAGCACTTTTTAAGATGACATCTAAAAGTTAGATTGATTGCATTGCACTCTGCACTTTTGAAGAAAGAAATGGGTAGGTGAACTAGATGGTCAAGGTAGCTTCGTTTCTGCTCCAGTTCCTCTAGGTAGAGATTCTTAGTAGACAGAAAGGAGACCTTGTTATGGGTACTAAGAAAATACAATGGAGTGCTGATTCTGTGTCCAAAAATGATCAAACTCTAGTTTACCACATCAAATAAAATCAAATAAGAATTAGTCGAGGAGTTGTACTCTAAGTAACTTATTCATAGGAAGTGAATATTAGTAATTCCCTCCAAAATAGCATACTCAGTAACATTTGATGGACAGAATATAATATTGGAAAAAAATTATTCTTAGCACCTATGAAGTTTAATTGGAATCTATGCCTAAAGCCTAATTATTTTTTAAAAAATAATTAGCTTCTATAAAGTTTAATTGGAATCTATGCCTAAAGCCTAATTATTTTTTTTAAATAATGGTTTATTAAAATCGTAAGGTAAAATATTAATCTTAAGGACCAGTGGCATATGGATTGACTTAATCACTGTCCATTCCACTGCACTTCAAAATCAATTGCTCAGTGAAGTAATAATAGCTGCCCTTAGAAACTACTGTCTCAAAGGACTTTTAATGCAAAGCACCTCTCCTGCTGGCCAGGCTAGCAGGTTATGGGGAATGCTAGCTACTATACAGCTGAGAATGAAATAACTTGTTTGGTTGATGGTTCTCTTCTATATATTTTTATTAAGGATTCAGGTCATCATTTTTGTGACATGAGCAGTTTACTTTTGACTTCATAATAATGTTATAAATCATAGTTCTCATGATTTAAATTATTCGCTAACTCATGCCTATGTGGAAAGAGAAGTAGACCATTAGCAGACAGCCTGATTCAAACTTCTGTGGAGTGTGATCTGACCTAAGTCCTCTCCTCTTATGTAGAAGAGGCTAGTTGTATTTCTCCTACTATTGTGCAGAGCTGTTTTGAGAATTAAATATGATAACCTTTGTTAGATGGCCTTACGACTGCCTTCTTCTTTGTTTGGAGTACGATGAAGTATGACAGAATAGAAAAAAGCATGGGCCAAAAGCTGAGTTCTGATCTTGGCTGAACCATTCAGGAAGCTTAGAAAATACTATGGGACATTTGCTTTCTTCCTTTGCATCTTAATTTTATCTTCTTCTCTTTCTACCTGTCATCCATTGATCCATCCAACTATCCATATATACATATAAATATAATTATGGTCAAGAGTGAAAATATTAAGTAGTGTTTGTTGAGAAGCTAGTACAGTGTCTGAAATATGGTAACTACTCAACAAATAAATATTAGTTTATTCTCCACTATTCTCAACCCATCTGCTAAATACCAGAAGGAGAAAAGTATAAAATTCAAGGCAAAACACTTCATTTCAACTAATTATTCTTGAGATATTATAAATGTTATATGTCATTAGTAAATATATTTGCTTCTAAATCTATGTTTCATATTCTGCTAATTAAAAAAAAAGTAGCTCATAGCATCATTTTTCATAATAGCCAAACACTGGAAACAACCCAAATAGCATGAAGTGATAAATAGATACATAAAATGTGCATACAATGGGCTGCAATTCAGTAACAGGGGAATGAAGTATTGAAACATGCTACAACATGGATGCACCTTGAAAACATTATGCTAAGTGAAAGAAATCCATCACCAAAGACCACATCTTGTATGATTCCGTTTATATGAAATGTCCAGGATAGACAAATCCATAGAGACCTAGTGGTTGCCAGGGGCTGGCTGGGAGGAGAGATTAGGAGGTGACTGCTAATAAGTACAGGCTTCCTTTTGGAGGTGATAAAAATGTTCTAAAATTGATTGTGTTGGTTGCACAACTCCCTGATTGTACTAAAAACCATTGAACTGTTTACTTTAAATAGATGAATTATATGGTATATAAACTATATCTTCATAAAACTACTCTAAAGTAAAAAGGATTTTGTAAGTAGAGTATGCTCAAAATAATGCATGATCCTAAGCATTTCTGGTACATTTACTTTGTTGCCAATGAAGGTAGTTAGTGTCAACTATTTAATTGATCCAAAATTAAGTGAGGGGAAATAGTGTTATAAAATGCTGTCATTTCCTTTTCTCAATGATTACTCAAAATCTTCAGTAAAGTGAAAGGAGAAGATGGCTTGTAGAAAATTAGGCTCCTTTAGTTAACACTGAATCTTGTTGAGAGATGTAATTTTATTGTTTCAGGTCCTAAACCTAGTACAGTCCTATGTGACCCTTCGAGTCCCCCTGTATGTTTCCTACGTGTTCCATTCCCCCGTGGGGATAGGAGGCTGGCAGCATTTTGACTTGAAATCAGAGCTTCGTCTGACTTTTGTGTATGACACTGCCATCTTGTGGAATGATGGGATTGGCAGCCCCCCAGAGGCTGAACTTCAAGGTGGGTTAATAAGACTTGGAATACTCTAGTTTTGTAACCTATTTAAATTATTTAACAGGATGTTTTTGCTTTTGCTAAAAGTAGTACAAGAAACTTTCAATATATTTTCTTTTTCTATTCTATAATAAGTTCACCCTTTTCATCAAAAAACTCTTTAAATCATATTAGTGCTTCAAATTATTTATAACGTGATTATTAAATATAACTTTATATATTTCATGGATATTTTACTCTTGTGATCTATTTTAGGTGATTATACGTTACATAACACAACATATGTATTTTTCTGGGTTCTAGAAAATGGGTAGAGGAAGCTCCAGTGAAAACAAGAAATGAACAAAAGAAAAAGTTACACATTTTATTTCTGAAAATAAGAGGTGCCTTTTAAACTCTAATACAAATTGTTGTCTGAATTCTAGTTGTGACTCTACAACTCACTAGCTGTGAGATCTCAAGCATATTGCTTAACTTTTCTGAGACCTAATTTCCTTTGAATGATAGACAAAACTTCTAATATCTCTTTCTGATTTAAAATTCTATTCCTCTGAGACACTTTCACTGAATGTCTTTGAACTCCGATTGTGAATGCACTAGCTTGGGTTCACAAGCATTTGCAAAACTTGATTTCAACCTCCATGTTAGAATCACAGTTCAAAGTCCACAAGCATCAATATCATAAATCCGTTAGTGAGATGAGTGCCTTTTCCGTTTCAGACATATATTGCTGTTCTGATTCCACAAACATTCATACATTCAGTGTCATGCCAGTACTACATTTTACTAGCCAGCAGGAAAATAGAGTTGATTGTGCATCTTATATGTTAATCTACTCTCTTAAGCGGATTAAAATTATTTTAGAGCTATATGACGGGTAATATGATCACCCTGAATTATAATTTTAAATTATTTCAAATGCTTTAAGTCCATATCTTGTTTTAGAAGATACATATTTAAGTTAATCTTAATGAGGATTTTTCTGTGGTTCCCAACATCAACATAGGATCTCTGATTTCCTTTTGATTTTCCTGGAGCCAAATTTTATCAAACTGCTAAGTTTCTTGGGAAAGCTTCAGAGCTTTCTTTAAGTCTAGAAAATTAGGAATAATTCTGAATAACTCAAACCTATTTCTGTTTACATGTCCGAATCTCCATCATTTTGACAATTTTGTCATGTCTCTCAATTTGCAGCTTCATTTGTGTAAACTAAGACTTTTTCTAAAAACTTGTCTACTGTAATTGGTCTGTGTATTTTACGGTGACTCATGTTACTTAATAATTCATTTTGGCTTCCTTTTCTGCTTAGAAAAGAAAATGAAGATATTTCCTCCTCCATTGTTCAGAATGCTTCTGATAATACTGTTTGCTTAAAGACAAGACAAACTTGAGCAGGTTAATTTATGGAAGGAATCTGTACATAGGGGTCTCCGGCTGCATATATTTTCATTCTGGGTACTCTCCCCATTATAGGTTCCCTCTATCCAACCAGCATGAGGATCGGTGACGAGGGGCGCTTGGCCGTGCACTTCAAAACAGAGGCTCAGTTCCATGGCTTATTCGTGTTGTCACATCCCGGTAAGCCCTGCTACCTTTTAACAACCACTCCCCACACAACAAGGAGATAGATTCTCCTTCTTCACACATTTCAGCATGCTTCCCTGTTACCTTTGAAGCCTTTAATTCAAATGAATTGTACATGTGTGATTATCTCCATGAGGGCTTGATAATTCTTCAGCTTCATCTCAGAATCCACAAAATTATCATTATGCAGACTTTCAGAGAAAATGCAAAATAATTAGAGTAAAATTAAAAGGACACCCTATTGAGTTCATATTAAGCAAAGTTTTCCTTAGATAAAGAGCATAGGAATAATGATTTCTTTCTCTGCTTTGCTTCCATTGTACAAATTGAATTGCAGATATTCATTCAGCAAGCACTTCTCTGTTCACAGCTTTTTCCTAGGTACTATGAGAAACCCTTTTAATAGGGTCAGAAGAGGTACTTCACTTTCGTATTTAGGTTTTGGACATTGTTAATTATGTTTAATAAGTATTGGCTATGCAATTTAATTGTGATGCACTGTGCTTTGAATATCAATAAGGCAGCCGTCAATAAAATCCCACATCTAACTTCATTTTTTTTAATAAAGGACATTTCATTAGAAAGAGCTTATTTTTTGACTCTCCATGTTACTAAACTGGTAACAGTTACTAAACTAGTAACATGCAGAGTGAAATAAAAAATAAGCTATTTTTCTGCCAACTTATGTTAGAATGGGAAAGGGAAAATAGTTCACTCAACATCTTTATATCCTTTCTTTTTGTAGGCTTGAATCCTAATAAAAGAGAGAATAGGGCTGACTAATTAGGAAGAGAAAGAAGCCTCATTGTACTTTTATGAAACTGAGCTACAAGAAAGAAAGAATTCAAAAAATCATTTTGCTTTATTGTATTTGACAGTTCTGGAAAATAAGGATTTTCTGGTCTATACAGTTCTTGCTACATGTCTACCTTTCTAATAAACTGAATCCTTGTTTAACCATGATTGCAGGCAATCTAAGTAAAATTAGACTCTGTTCATAAACTGGGTTTGCCCAGCTGTGTGGATACTAATAGAACTATTTTAAGTTCAGCTCATAGCTTCAGTGCAATAAATGCATTACATCACCCTTTATTGTGCTGCTCTGACTCCCAGAAAGTAGATCTGAACAGTTTGAGCATTTCTGTACAATTATCTTTTGACAGAACTATAGAGCAGAAACAGAAGTAGGAATCAGAAAGTCATGTCCTAGCTGTGTGATCTTTGGAAAGTCACATAGTCACTCACAGCCCAGTTTCTTCATCAGCCAAAGGAGGATAATTATACCAACCATGACTGCTTTGCAGCCTTCTCATAAAAATAGAAGCAAATAATGTATGATAGGGTATTTTGAAAATGCTAAACTGTTATGCACTCTTTTAATTGAACCACTATATCATTATTAACGTTTCCTAGCATCCTTTACAAGCTCAGTGATCATGTCAGCGGATCATCCGGGCCTGACATTTTCCCTCCGCCTCATAAGGAGTGAACCAACCTATAACCAGCCAGTACAGCAGTGGAGCTTTGTCTCTGACTTTGCCGTAAGTGATTAAGACTCTTATTGATTTTCTTTTTCTGCTGCCATCCGATTACACCTCGGATTTTTAAATGTAATGTGTCAATGTCTTCTCCTCAAAGGTACGTGACTACTCCGGGACCTATACAGTGAAGCTGCTGCCATGCACTGCCCCATCACATCAGGAATACAGCCTGCCAGTCACATGCAACCCCAGAGAGCCTGTCACCTTTGACCTTGACATCCGATTCCAACAGGTGCAGCTTATAGAGTTATTATCTCATGACTTGCAGAATCCCACTTTGTTTTACATTGATTAATTTCTTTAAAAAGTATCCACACATGAATGACTTTAATTCTTGCATGGTGTAAAGAAAAGAAATCAGTTACGGAAGCAAGGGAGAAAAGAAGGAGGAAAGATTTGCCCTTTATCTGTTGTTAGCACAGGATGTAAAATTCAGAGTTTAATGTATGCAATGGTTTTTTTTTTTTTTTATGATTTTATCTTGTCTCCTCCTGAAGTTTTCTGTCTTGGAGATTTGAGAATTTTTGCATTTCTTTTCTTGTCCTTCTCTAAAGAGAATGAAATCCTGTGGCCCAAACCACCTCAAAGTACCTAATTGCCATTATGCATTATAAGAAATGTGATGGCATCTTTTTTTCAAGAACTTATACTATTGGCCTTCTACTGACAAAATGGTATTTACAAGTCCTTCATATACCCCAATAAACCAGTGGAAATGAGCTCAAGCAAATCTATTTAGTCCCATTCAGAAAATAACTTAACCCCACCAGTTTTTCCTTTTCAAGGACGACAACAATGTTACAACTCTCTAAGTTGGCTTGGTAGGGCATGAAAACTGCAGTGCGGTGTTTACTGTTCTATGGTCACCGTACGGTGAATGTACCTATCTGTGAGCGGTATGTCTGTGCACCATCAGAACCACCAATGCATAAAAGGACTTTTACATTTGGTTTTAGGTCAGTGATCCAGTGGCCGCTGAGTTTAGCTTGAACACCCAAATGTACCTGCTCTCTAAGAAGAGTCTCTGGTTGTCTGATGGCTCCATGGGATTCGGGCAAGAGAGTGATGTTGCTTTTGCAGAAGGTATCACTTTACAAATGAGAGGGATACTGTTTAGCATGTATGCGTTTTGTGCTTTACTTTTTGGGGATTGTGTTTGGGGAAGTTATAGCTTCTTTGATGGTTTTGAGAATGTAACTGAGTATTTACCCACTCTGGCTGGTGTGGGAAGTCATTGCAATTGTGTATATGTTACTGGGTATCTTTTTATTCTGAGGAAGCTAATCTCTAGGTGTCTTACCTAAATGACTTTTGGAACAAGTCTAGATGATTTTCTTGAATTTTTTTTTCAACTTGTATAAACATAAATGCTGCAGCTACATGAGACTGTAAATGCTTCTCAGGCAAAGACTGCCTGCCTTGTTCCATGGTGTATATTCGGCACCTAGAAAAATACCTGGCATACATGGTAGGGGTTCAATAATAGTTATGAAATAAATAATTGAACACCAGGTGATTTCATTAAGCCCTCTTTCAAAAGCAAATAAAGTTAATTAGGCTTTTTATTGATTCTTTCTTAGTGTTATTCTATATTGTATCAGTATTCATCTTACCAACTTATTTATATAAACTGGACCTGAACCACAGTGGAATATTATTAATGTCAAAGTATAGGCCAGACCTTTGAAATTATTCCCACTAGTGGCTGAACATCTGAGATTCAGTAAATCTTCAGTCCCCTGTGGTCAGTCTGCAAAGTGGTCTTACTGGGAAGACCAGTAAAGGCTTCCCTGGGAATGCACCAGATCTTGAAACACACAAACAGGCCTTCGATATTTGATAGTAGATGCAGGTGGGAAGGAAATAATCTCTGGGTCCTCGCTGTCATTACCTGTTCACAGTGTCACATTGATATACCTTATCACATCACAGGAATAACATTTCCACGTCTCTGTTTTCAGGTGATATAATTTATGGTCGTGTCATGGTGGATCCTGTCCAGAACCTGGGTGACTCCTTTTTCTGCAGCATTGAGAAGGTGTTTCTATGCACTGGAGCCGATGGCTATGTTCCCAAGTATAGTCCAACGAATGCAGAATACGGCTGCTTAGCCGACTCTCCTTCAATCTTATATAGATTTAAAATTGTGGTAAGTGCTTTGACCCAATGAGCTAGATCGATTTTTCCAAGTTCAGCCTGCTTGTCTTATATTTAAAAACAAGACTGGGCAAAATGGCCACACTGTAGTCCCAGTACTTTGGGAGGCCAAGGTGGAAGGATCACTTGTAGCCAGCATTTCAAGACCAGCCTGGGCAACATAGTGAGACCTCATCTCTACAAAAAATTTAAAAAATTAGCCAGGTATCGTGGCACATACCTGGAGTCCCAGCTACTTGGGAGGCTGAGGTTGGAAGATTCCTTAAGTCAGGAAGTTCCATCTATGACCACGCTACTGCACTCTAGCCTGGGTGACGAAGAAGGTCCCTGTCTCTTAAGAAAATAAAAAAATAGGCCGGGCACGGTGGCTCATGCCTGTTTTCCCAGCACTTTGGAAGGCCGAGGTGGGTGGATCACGAGGCCAAGAGATTGAGACCATCCTGGTCAACATGGTGAAACCCCATCTCTACTAAAAAAATACAAAAATTAGCTGGGTGTGGTGGCACGCACCTGTAGTCCCAGCTACTTGGGAGGCTAAGGCAGGAGAATTGCTTGAACCCGGGAGGCGGAGGCTGCGGTGAGCCAAGATCGTGCCACTGCACTCCAGCCTGGTGCCTGGCAACAAAGCAAGACTCTGTCTCAAAAAAAAAAGAAAAGAAAAAATTTTTTAAATTATAATTTTTATTAAACCAAATGGTGATATTTTATATTAATCTGTACTTGCACAAAGCAAATAGGGAAGCATTCTGTCCTTGCAAAAGCTGGCATTATCTACAGCAATCACCACTTTCCTTACTGCCTAAAGGACAAAGCTCAGCCAGAGACACAAGCTACCAGTTTTGGAAATGTCCTATTTAATGCCAAACTAGCAGTGGATGACCCTGAAGCTATTCTCTTAGTGAATCAGCCTGGATCTGATGGATTTAAAGTCGACTCAACACCCCTCTTTCAGGTAGGCCAGAAACGAGCTCATTTGTAATAGCTATATACCCACGTGAGAGCTACCAAACATTGATATGCCTCAGATGTCTCAAATGTAAATAGCAGTGATAATAATAATGCACTTAGTTAATGGGAACATTGAACAAGATATGGCATATAAACCACATAGCCCCATACTGGGCCTGGTGAGTATGCCATCAACCCAGCTGTTATTATTTTTGTTAGCAATACATGTGGTTTTCATAGCTTTTATCACTTTTATTAATGTATTCATATTATTTTAAGACTATGGAAAATGAAGAGTCTTATTTCTCCCAGAATATATATCTGTGTCTGACAGTTGAGTAATCTGCTTTTCTTATTCAAAACTTCCTTCCTGCTGACTTTTCATGAACATCTTAATTAGGGTGATCTTGTGTGAACAGCTAAACTCAGAAAAGCAATTGTGCACCGCTCCTCTCTCAAAGATTTCGGAAACCGAGATACAAATTCCTGACTCAGGGATCGAAGGTAGAGGGATACACAGGCAGCCACCACAACACTGAGCAGACAAATGTCACAAATTTCAAGATGTGCTTACACTGTAAATCTCTGTGGGAACAAGTGCACCCTTTAGGATATTGACTGAAAATTATCCCGACAGGGTATCCTGGAGAAATGTGTTATTTTCATTCAGCTTAAGGAAGGAATCTTAAGAAACCATGTTTGTTATTCTGAATCTTTTCAAACAATAATTTGAAGTATGATATGTTTTATTTTTATTCTTGCCATTCAATCCCAAAGCATCTGACTTCTCTAAATCCTGCATGCTTCAACGACTTATCAGAAAATCCATCCTTTTCCAAAGCCCAAGAAAAGCTTGAAAATTGATTTTTTTGCCTATGGTCTTATATGCAATAAGCTCTCAGGTGAAAAGAGTCCTGAGGTTCAGAAGGTTTGAGCTATAGTCTCGCCTCTGCCACTAACCAGTTGAGTAACATCCGGCAACTCACTTAACTGCTGCATACTTTTATTTACTCATTTTTTAAATGAATAAACTAGACTGTAAAATCTATTAATAGTTCTTTAGAACTCTCCCATTCTATGACAACAAGTACCCAATATTCACTCCCTTAAGTGTTGCATGGAATGTATCATAGAGTACTTTGCACAGCAACTTACACTTAGTACTCATTCAAAAATATTAGGTAAGTTAATTCTGCAGACTAAAATAAATCATCATTTATTAATATCTCTGCCATAAATTTCTCTTGCAAAGAGCTGTGAATTAGGTTGACATGATATCTAGTATATCCTAACAAATAGAGCTGTGCTTTCTAGGTTGCTCTGGGCCGAGAATGGTACATACATACGATCTATACAGTGAGATCAAAAGATAATGCCAATCGAGGTATTGGCAAGAGAAGCGTGGAGTATCATTCTCTGGTGAGTCAAGGAAAGCCCCAAGCCACCACCAACAGCCGGAAGAAGAGAGAGATCAGGAACACACCCTCGCTGGCATGGGAGATTGGTGCTGAAAACAATCTGGGAACAAACATCCAGCACATTGCCCTGGACCGCACCAAGAGGCAGATCCCCCACGGGAAAGTACCTCTGGATGGCATCCTTCCCCGGGAGCTCAACAGCCCCAGCTCTGCAGTCAGCCTAGTCACTGTGGTGGGAGGCATCGCTGTAGGGTTACTCACCATCTGCCTCACTGTCATTGCAGTACTGATGTGCAGGGGCAAGGAAAGTTTCAGGGGGAAGGATGCCCCAAAAGGCTCCAGCAGCAGCGAGCCCATGGTGCCCCCACAGGACCATCACAATGACAGCTCAGAAGTTTGATGACATCACACAGGTAAAATGCAACCTTTTCCTTAAGTGCCTAAGAAAAGACCACAATGGAACCCTAAATACTTCTGGTAAACCTTAGAGAATGGAGGACATCTGTGACAAAGCTGCTCAGAGAACATGAGTGTACTAATGTACTTTGATTTGAATTCTTCATACTCTTTTATGCATCAAAGGACAAATTAAGACATCTTTCCTCTTGCCCAGAAGGCAGCAACGGTGTACTCACATGTACACAGAGCCATGGATAGATGGTGTGGAATGTACTCCTCATTTTAGACATATTCTCTATGCAGTGGAGATAAACCTATTAAAAGGTGTTAACAGACTCTCTTACAAGTGTAAGAGGAGTCTATTGTCACTATGTTAGTGTGAATGTTGAAGGTGCAATTATCACATTGTTTATTCATTGTATAACAGATTATTACTAGAAAGGTTTTCATTGCTAGTCTGGAAAAATGGTGAACACAGTGTTTATTATGACAAGTTTTCAAATAGGTGAAGACAGCATAGAATTATGACCGGGGTGGCTCAACCCACAAATCAACTGATCTACTACTTAGGACACAGTGGAAGGAAAGACAGAGGGAAGGAAGTTCACCCACTTGAATTTGAATTGCTTCTCATTCTCCTCAGACTCTCCTTGTTTTATTTGCCTATTTAATTTTAAATTAAACCAAAGAATATGTTAATTCTGGAAGAGATTTTTAAGAGAGACGGCTCTGTTTTGGCATGTAGTGAGTAACAGTAGAGCTCTTGTGTGGTAATATACCTTACTGGTGCTCAACATTTGTGGGAAATTAGAGGGTGATGTGGGAAATTAGTGATTTCTTCATCACTTTTTGGTGATGAAGAAATGCCACAGAGTTAAGAGTCACTACAAGACAATGTTCTTTAAGAACAGAGGCTAGATGTTTGCAGTATTGAACCCATAAAGGATAATGAGAAACATTATTACAGATGGTGAAGGGAGAAAGTGGTATTTATTAATATAATGTGTATAATCAGAGTGCCTCTTATACATACTTAATAGAATAAAGGAACATTTTGACAGATGACAGATGAGGTTATCCCTCAGAGTAGCATAATCACACAATAACATTTAGAACTTAAATTGGCCACGGGACATTTTATTAGCTTTCTATGCAGCATCTGGTCCAAACAATGGGAATCTCTGCAACTGTCATTCCAGAAATCGTACTGGAGGTGGCCAGAATCATTGATCATATTCTTCTTTGATTCAAGAAGATGTCACTCTGGCATCCCCAATTCAGTGAACTGGTGCAATGTAATCCCTCTCGGTATTTAAAAATATAACTTGTAACCGTGCTTATCATTCACCTCACAAAGCCAGGGAACTTAAGTGAGCTTGCTTGGCAAGCCTCCCATTGCCTTTCTGCATCCATGTGTTTTTTACCAACTAGCAGAAATTTTGCTCAGAAAGGGAAACTTCAGTATCTTAATGAGCTGTTTTCCGTAAGCTAATAAACATGTTTCAAAGAAAAATAAGGTCAGGAGAAAAAGAATAATGCCTAAAGATTATCCTTCAAATGCTGGCTAGAATCCCCTTTCACTTCTAGCTATAAACTGGCTACATTGGACAGCTTTGCCGCTGCAGATTTATAAAAGGCAAACTTCTCAGATCAGATGTGCACATCTTAATTTGGTGCCTGTAAGTATCAACCATTTCTTGATCAAGATAAAGAAGTGACACTCTTACTGAGAGAGAGGAAACATGTCTGACAGTTGCCTTTCTTCTTTTAGGCCGCTCTGAACTTCATATTCAGTCTTTTAAAAAATAGATTGTAGTATCCCTTCATTGGAGAATTTACAAATGTCACCTACATTTCAAAAGTCCCACTAATGGCTTATACAAACAAAGGTACTGTGTAGCCCAGGAGTTTATTTACCAAGATAAATAGTGGTAATGTCTTAATCATCCCCCTTTCCTTTGCTTTACTTTCTGGCAGATGCTTAACTACTATTTTGGCTACCTCATAATTTGTATGGGAATGAACATGAATTAGGGAGCTTCAAACAGTGCATGGACTTTTCACTACTTACCATTGGGTTCAACTGATGTAGACTGTTAGATCAAGTATACTCAATCAGCTCGCTGATATTTCAGTAGTTAAGAGCTTCTGAGCCTATCATGCAATTTTGGAGTATGTGTCAATGAATATAGTGATCGGCGAAGCATTACTATAGAAGTCTGTTTTGAGCCTTTGGGGCAGGCTGGTTTTATATCAAATTTCACTCCTCAATGCATATCAGGCTACTGTATATAAATTGGAGAGCTTATAAAATGCAGAACATTTCTATCCTATCCTACCAAATAAAAATGTATCCTTCTCTGTCCATCTGTTCTCTACTCTCTCCTCCCTTTTTTTCCTTCCCTTTATTTCCTTGAAAAAAGAAAGTCTGTGGGAAACAGGCAGATACAGCTTTTTAAAGTATAAAGTGCTTGGAATTTTGCATCATTTACTTAATATCTATTTACTAAATATGTAATTTAATATACATTAATTATCTTTTGAAACTTTTTAGTGGGAAGAATAAGATAATTTTTTTGTTAAATAATATCGACCCTTATTTTTAGCATTTTGTCTTTAGAGAACTATTCTGGTACTAACAGAACAAATACATAAAATAACTTCCCATAGAGAACAGGGTATAGCAATAATAGCTCCTTAACACTCAGTGGCTTCTGACTCTCATCAAGGTCTTGTTGATACTATATAGCAAAAACAAAACCAAAAATAAATACTATACTAGTAGCTCTCCTAAGCATATAAATCATAAGGCATTGACATGTGTATTTTAATGATGATTTTATCTGTTCCCGTTTTTGTCCTTAGTTAACATTTACTGATGCTCATCTAGGATCAGCTATTCTGAGAGACTGCATAGAAACCAAGCTCCACTTCTTGTCCTTGGGCAGGTTATAACTGAATGCAGCTCTTTATTTGGACTAACGTGTCAGGATTTGCATTAGATTCTCTCCTGAACCAAAAACACAACAGTCCTATCTGTAAACCACAATTTAAAAATCTTTCTAGAATAACAACAGTAGAGTCCACTCTTGTTTATCTGAAAGAGCCCTGCATGTTATGGATCATCTTGATGACAGATTTATACAAAATGATTCAAACCAGTAACTTTATAAAATTGACCTTTGCAAACCCACACAGGGGAGGGCCCTGCAGAGCTGTGGGTGGCACTGCATATTCTTTTACTCTTGTGAAAGATAGGCCCACTTTATTCCAAGAATAACATGTAGCACATAAACTCTTCTTCCAGTTCGTTAGCAGCATTAGCACCTTCTGAAGTCCACCCTCTCAGAAGAATCCACAATGTTTGAACAATATGCGTAAAGGTCAGCTAGCATCCTGCTGCCAAGCCACTGTATAGCATTTGTGATGAGACGGACCAACTCTAGGCTCAGTATGGAGCGATTTAGTTCTGCAAGCAGCAAAAGAGCTTTTTTTTTTTTTTTTTTTTTTTTTTTTTTTTTTGAGATGGAGTCTTGCTCTGTCACCAGGCTGGAGTGCAGTGGCACAATCTCGGCTCACTGCAACCTCTGCCTCCTGGGTTCAAGCAATTCTTCCACCTCAGCCTCCCGAGTAGCTGGGACCACAGGCGCGTGCCACCACGCCCGGCTAATTTTTTTTTTTTTTGTCTTTTTAGTAGAGACAGGATTTCACTGTGTTGGCCAGGATGGTCTCAATCTCTTGACCTCATGATCCGCCCACCTCAGCCTCCCAAAGTGCTGGGATTACAGGCGTGAGCCACTGCACCTGGCCCAAAAGAGCTTCTTTATCAAGTCATCTTACCTCTAACTGTTTTCCAGTGTGCCAACTCCAAAGTCAATATTAAAAATGTAAATGGACCTGTGTAAATATCACAGAGAGATTTTCCTTATTCATCTCAATGCTGAGGATTAAAATAGTCCCAGGTTGAAAATTATTAAAATACCAATAATAGAGCTAAATATAATGACATTTAGATTTTAAAAGTTGGAAATTTTATTTCTGCTTTTTGAAAACACTTACTTAATATTGACTTGGAAGCCAATTCAGTCCTTTAATAAGTAAAGAAAAAAATGTTTAAAAATGTAAATGTCTTACAAATTTGAAATTTTTATAATTGTATTAATCAGAAAAGAAGCAGTTACTATTCTTTGAAACTTGTGTTTCTAGACATGACAGCAGTAAGAAAAGGATGAGAGCAAGTGTCTTCACTAAGTGTACGGCAAATAAATGGGACCCAAATGTTCAACCAGTTCAGTTTACCAAGGTTCAGAAATATGTAATTTAGGAGGAAATTATAAATACCATTGCTATCACAGCCACACATATACACACATAGATATAAAAATAACCAAACATCTAATTTCTAGGAAAGAGATAACACTGAAGGCATAGTTTTAACTGAAATAGTTCATATGAAGTTTTACAAAAAGGTCAGCAGAAAGCTCATTTGTGAAAACACTACTGTGGGAGCATCCTTAACATAGCTCAGAGGTTAATATATTTCCTGGAGGTATTTTCCTAGAATTGACTGCCGTATTGCACAGTCATAACATACAATGTTTACAGAAACATTATATGTAGGTTCAAATTATCCCTTAATGTCTATTTCTCCTCTTTTCCATAGATTTTGATACTAAGAAACAAAATGCCTTGAGATTTTGATAACTATTTTGATTTTTATAAGACATTTTAAAATAGAAGGGCATGATGTTTTTCTATAGTTTCCACCAGGAAGCATACATCAAAAACTTCTCAGTAAGGAAAGAAAACTGACTCATGAATTAAAGTTGATAAAATATACTAATGTTTCTCTTAATTGTATTTTATTAGGAGAAAAATCAGAATATTAAATTTGCAAACTTTTAAACAGCAATCATAGCTCCTTAGACACTCAGTATCTTTCTTCCCTATCTTTCAAGAACATCTAATTTCTTTCCCCGATGTTTGTTTGCTTTGTACTTTTTCAATATTTTGTTTAAAGAACAGTAACAAGAACAAAGATGCTCAACCATGACACCTACTTTTGCTTTTTCTCTTTCTTTCTTTTAAGTTGTTGAACTAGGTTTCTTTCTCTGAGATGTATTTTTCATTCTTCCAATAATGTGCCCCCTTTCATTTCAAAACCATGACCATTTTCAATATGTAATTAATATCCTCATTCATCAGAAAGCTGGTAAGTCCACACAGCATTTATGCAGTATCCCTTATGTATAACATTTTAAGACTTTCAGGTGAAAGAAAAAAGAACTTCTTGCAAAAGATCAAAAGCGTCATACTGAATAAAATGATGACAATCTGTGCCTTGATTTTTCTTAGTGGAGGTTCAACATTGACATTTAAGATGAAAAAAAAATTTTGTTAATTAAGAATAAAAAGTCAAAGATCACATATATGTAGTTGTTTTGTATGACAGGTACCTTAAAATGAACTAAATAACTGAAATAAATTGTTAAAATGTTAACAGCATTGAAGTTTTTAAAATTATAATTATTAGATGCATACTGTTCTTTTACTATGCCAAATGTTGCCTACACTGATTACATGATTGTCAGAGTTTAAGTGCATTTCTACTATATTTATTTTTCCCAATGTTTGGATCATCCTCTCAGATAAGAATTGTCAGTACTGCACCTCAAGAAAGAAAAAAAATAAGAATGTAAATTTTTTTAAACTAGCATTAAAAGTAAAGAGCATTACCATAATCACTTAAAATAGAGAAAGGCAATACTGAGGAAGAAGAAAAAATTTTCTATAAAAGCTAAATTTATACACTTTATAAAAAGTAGTACAAGTTAGTCTTTTATTGTGACTTCAGGAATTCGAATTGTTGGCCAGATTTTTTTTTTTTTTTTTTTTTTTTTTTTTTTTTTTTTTTTTTTTTTTTTTTTTTGGAGATGGCGTTTAACTCTTGTTGCCCAGCATGGAGTGCAGTCGGCTCACCGCAACCTCCGCCTCCCAGGTTCAAGCAATTTTCCTGCCTCAGCTTCTCGAGTAGCTGGGATTACAGGCATGCCTGGCTAATTTTTGTATTTTTAGTAGACACGGGGTTTCTCCATGTTAGTCAGGCTGGTCTCGAACTCCCGACCGTAGGTGATCTGCCTGCCTCAGCCTCCCAAAGTGCTGGGATTACAGGCGTGAGCCACTGCACTTGGCCTGGCAAGATACGTTTTATAATTGTCTTATGTGCCTGCTTCCTTCCCAAGTGCCCTCCCTAACACTAAGTAAATTTATATTTCTCTAGCCTCTGAGTGACATATCTGTGTGTAATGGAATTATTTGCAGAACTTCATAGCATTCTTATTTTCCCATGAGAATTTTTCAAAACCTAACAGGGTCTAGTGTTATCATATATTTACTTAACTAAGTTACTACATATTGGTGGATATTGACGTTTATTCCTGGGAATCTACTTTTGCAAACAATTTGGAGCCATTCAGTCATAAATTCATGTCTAAAATAAGTCTTGCTGCCACTTGTGTTTCATAACTATACACTTGCCTTCCTTCAAAATATATCAAGTGTTTAATATAAATAAAGCCCATATGAATATAAATGTGTTCAAATGACCAAGTTATTCTGGTGTGTTCTATAACTTATTTTTATGCTAAAATCACAGATTCCTGTAGTCTGTGATAAATGTCAGTTATTTTCATTCCCCATCCAGGAGCCTTGAACTTATGCAGTTATCCGGACTGGGACCTGTGCTCCCACTGCCACTCAGACTGATAGTAAAACTTTGTCTCTCCTCAGTAGAATCCACCTGCAGGGTCCTGGCACCTGCCCACTAGTTATGAAGAGTGTATGTACAGGGACAATGTATATTTAAGGGAAACAACATATTTGGACTAACTAATTCTTTGTCCCAGGAAGCAGTGTGACTAGACCCTGCTATGGTTAGAAAATCCTGCCTAGCGCAGTGATGAGGATGAATTAACTAATCTGGTCTTTACTGTCAATGTGGTCTGGTCATCTAAGTTAATGATCAATTGATTTTTTATAAGGTCAGATTGTTAACATGGGGCCAACACTATTTAATACCAAAAAGAAATGCAAAGACAGCTTGTTTAAGACTTTGAAGGATATCCCAAGAAAAAGACAAACTACAAAAAAGAAGGTGACGTGGAAGAAAAATAACTGCTATGTCAAAGATCTTCCAGCACTTCCAAGACTGGAGAGAGAAAATGGCTGTAAGAGAAAGCTTGTGACCAGTAACAGAAAAGTGCAGCTCAACTCATCTTGATCATGGAAGAAAAAAACATGGGTAAACCTTTCATCGTGGTGTCTGAGGCAGGAGTCATGAGGCTGGGTAAACTGGTTTAGGATTTGCTACTTTGAATACTTTCAGCAGTCCCTAGGGGATAGGGACAGTCTCTAGTTGTCTGATACCTAGTTCTGGGGTGATTAGCCTGTGAAGAAATGTCTAAACTGCTAGGGACAGGGCCTGGCCTTCAGGAAGTCTGAGGAAGGAAACCAAAGAAGGAGAGATTCATGACTCAGTCCCTCAAGGATATTGACAGTGAGAGAAAAAGCCACACTCAGAGGCACCCAATGTAAGGGAAAACCCACAAACCAGAGTTGGTCAAGGTAGACCTGACTGGGAAAACAGACTCATCAGGAACAGAGGCAGGGAGATCTGGGATTAAACTCTATTGATTCCTCCCTGCCTTTCAACCAAGCCAGTAAATTCCCCCTAAAACTTCCCCCTTTGACAGTAATCTTTGAAAGTCTTATTCCCAACAGCCCAAAAAGCATTCCAGGATATTTAGATGGCATCCTAGCCATTTAAATGTGATTAACTGCAACGTGGCAAAGCGTGGTGGAGAAGGTTATTGGATAGTGCATGATTAAATCTAAAGGAAACCGGGGCAGGTCAGAAGCATTCATGGTAGCTGTCAGGGAAGAACATTTGAAAGGGCTGTATGGACAAAAGAGGTGAATGTATTTCCCCAAGCATTTCATAGAGTTGATACCATTCAGAAGACAGTTAGAAACATCTAGGCTGCATGAGAACATACCATAACTACGGCCTGATGTGATTCAAATGTGTTTGATGAGGACAGGACTCCCAAGTCCCTCCACACCACCACTACCGCCACTTGGCTTAAATTAAAGAGAGACCACTAAATTGGGAAGTACTGGTAATTTCCTATTGTCATAAAAGAAGACCCCAAAGGCAGTGACCAGAATCAATGAAGCTTTATTTATAATATTATGATTTTCTGTTGGTATAATCCATATACTGTGTTATTTTTACAGACACTTGTGTGTACATTAAAAGAGGTACCTAGCCTGTGTGGATAATTGGGAAAAAGTAGCCCCTCTGTAGAGATGAAGACCTCAGGCTCATAATTTGGTGTTTTTAAATGTGGATTGTATTATTATATGGGTATGACAATGCCGACAGATGAGGAGAAGATTGCCATTAAAAACATAGCATGTGGCCAG